TCCTGCGGGAAGGAGGTAGATAATAGTTTTCTTGAGGTTGTCAAAGACTACACGACCATATTTGACGGCTTCGACAACGGCACCGAAAGAATCGAGAAGAACCATGTCGGCAGCCTCAATGGCAATATCTGAGCCACTTCCGAGAGCGATACCAATGTCGGCGGCCTTGAGAGATGGGGCATCGTTGACTCCGTCGCCCGTCATACCTACAATGTTTTCACGTTTTTGGAATTCTGTACTCTTGTTAGCCATATGCAAAATAGTGCACGAGTAAATTCTTAGAACATACCTTTGACGATGCGTAGCTTTTGCTCAGGAGTAGTACGTGCGAAAACAATCTCTTCATACTGACAAAGTTGATCCCATTGATTATCGTTCAAACTCATCAAATCCGGACCACTAAGAGCTATCGACCTCGCATCCCCGTGTTTGGAGTCTACATCTTTCTCAGACACAACACCACTTGAAATGCTTTTTGGGGTCTCTATGCCATTTCTGCTGAGTTTAGAAACATCGTGAATCATCTCAGAAGGGGTAGTGATGATGCCACATTCAATAGCAATAGCTTGAGCTGTGAGTTTGAAATCACCAGTGACCATGAAGATTCGGATACCAGCTCTCCTTAGAACCTTTACTACCTCTAGAATTTCATCTCGAGGAGGGTCTACGATGCCAACAAGTCCCACTAGAGTCAAATCGCTGCCAGCCTGTCGCATGATCTCGGCCTCAAAAGTGTTGTTTTCGGGTCTGTGCTGCTTTTGGTGGCCTGGAAGAACCTTTCTTGCAAGTAGAATCACCCTCTTTCCCTGACTTGACCATCTGTTCTTTATCTCTTCAATAGACGCCTTCATCACCGGGTTCAACGGGTATACATGTCCATCTTCACCAACGTATTTAGTACAGCGCTCCACTAAAATATCTGGGGCTCCTTTGATAGTCAACAGAAGATCCTCATTTCTCCATTCGGCTAGCTCCTCAGGTGATACTGCAAGTTCCAGGCCTTCAGGTTCAGATAGCTTTAGAGTTCTGATCATGAATTTGTTCTTGCTGTTGAATGCTAGTTCGAAAGTCTTCCTCCATAAAGTATATAACTGTCGAACATCTCCAAATGTCTCTGACAGTCGAAGAACTGCCTGATCTGTCGCATCTCCTGCAATCTTCTTTTCTGCGAGAGGCAGATTGAGCGTAGCAGCATCGAACTCGCCAGCATTGCATAAACCTGCCAGGGATCGCAATTGAGCCACGGAATTAGTAGTCTTGCCATTGAGATTTTGGAACTCAACAGCTTGCGTAGGTGTCATTGTTTTTTCTGCGATTGAACACTCGGTTGCAAACATCTTGTTCTGAGGATACAATTAGCTAGAAGATCCCTAAGAATATCAAGGACGAGTGCCACTAATCTTACCTTTGTTAACGTTCCAGTCTTATCTGAGCAGATAACTGATACAGCTCCCAATGTTTCGACAGTCTTTAGGGATTTGCATAAAACTTGATTGCTCTTCATGATATTCGCCGTAATGGTCAGGGAAGCGGTTAGTGCAATGGGTAAACCCTCAGGGATAAAGGCAACTGCCACTGTCACAATATCTGCAGTAAAAAACTATTAGCAAAAAATCCTTTATAGTTTCCAGTGATGGATCAGACAAGTGAGAGAAAGAAAATTTACATACCAATAATCAATCCGGCAGTAGAAATCCAGTCAGGGTAAGAATGTCGTAACCATGCAGACCAACAGACAATAACCACTATGTTGAAGAACACCATGATAGAACAAATGATTATTATAAACCTCAAGATCTCCTTTTGCAGTGTCGTCATACCTGTCTTCGGCGTATTGGTCAATTTGGCAATCTTTCCGAAGACCGTCTTGTCTCCCGTGCCCACAGTGACTCCAATTGCGCTTCCGGAGATGCAATGAGTTCCCTGCATACCAATGTTATGCGTTTCCAGATAATTGAGATCTGTGTTTTCAACTGAACCGGCAATAGGTTGTGATTCACCAGTCAAGATGGAGCGATCAAATTTAGCATCAGATGATATTTCAACGAACCGAACATCTGCAGGTAGCTTGTTACCGGCCTTTATGTAAAGTACGTCACCGGGAACTAGATCGACTGCGGCGAGTTCTACGCGATTACCATTGCGTAGGACAAAGCAGTCGTCGGGAAGCATACCGGAGATGGATGCCATCGTCCGAGACGACGACCAATCCTGCCATGCGTTGAATACAGCTTGGATGACAAAGACCGCATAGAGGACAATTGCAAGAGCAAGATTAGCCTGTGCCGGGTTTGGTTCTCCTAATGGTTCGTAGGTGATGGTGACCAAAATACCACCAATCAGCAACACGGATCCAAATCCACCGAATAGATATCCGAAGACTAAACGATAAAAGCATTAGAAAAGGTTCCAAAAAAAAGAGCATTGATGAGTCGCCAATAGATATGAAACTAAACCTACCCCTGGAGAACAAGTTTGAAGGTGGCTTTGAAGGCATGTTTTTTCCAAACTCTTTTGTCTTGACCTCAACCTGTTCTTTCAAGAGACCTTGAGCAAGTGATGTCTCTAACCTATTTACAACATCGTCTGTCGACAAAGTATGCCACTCCAAATCACCAAGCTCACCTGCAGCGCCCTTCTTTGCACGATCTGCATCGATTCGCTGTTTTTCTTTGGTTTCTTCAATGGCAAAAGATACTGTGCGGTAAGTAATTGGCAGAGCAGTTGCTGGATCGATAGAGACTCTGCGGCGCCTTGAGCTTGTAGTTGATAGCTGCGAGTTATTTGTGGCTGTCCGAGTCATTCTAGGGAGCGTGTTGATCTGTCTGCCCGCCTCTTCATCTTGTGCGCCGAATCTGATTCGAGCTTCGGGTCTAGGTTGGACGTGAAAGATTTCGTCTTCGCGATCCTCGAGTGAGGTAGGCGCGGATTTTTCGTCCATGTTATTGATCGTCAAATTATTGAAGTGGAAGTCTTAGAGAAGTAGCTGATCAAAGGTTTCGCAGATATGTTCTTGTTAGAGAACTGCCTTGCTAATGCGAAACTGCCACTTGAGTGGGTATGGAAATACAGCTGTATACCAGAAGAGCTCTTGGAGTCGTACCACTTGTTGGCCGTTCAACGATGAAAAGAAGGGAATATTGAGAGAAGGGTGAAAGTAAATTGATGCTACCAAAAACAGAAACGGTTTGGGGATGTCAAGCAACCCAACGACTTCGAATGATTTGAAACTGTGAGGGAGGCCAACAACAACTTTAAGTAGATCTGAAGAACAAGTACTAAAAGACTTAGGAGATACAGCAACAAACAAGCTCAAGTGTATATGGCGAGCAGATGGGGTAGTGCCAGATTATCTTTTGTTTCCAAAAAGATAGTCAATGGATACAGACCTACCTTGTCCCAAATTTTCACATAGAAAAAATGAATTGTCCTACCAGAAGTTGTGGCGTAAGCGTGGTAGCAAATACAAATTTTCTGATTGAACATATATCCCGCGGGACAATTTCGCATCTCATGAGAATGATATGGATAGGTGGGTAGTGGCACAAGCTGTTTCCGTCATACAGCTACCTACATATAATACAAATTCACTTGCATTCCAGAAGCCAGATCCGAATCTGGTGTAGATCTGTAACTCCAAGGCGCATCTGGAAGCCCCGTCAATTTTGACACCAACGTAATAAAATTAAAACCACCCATGCAAGTGGTAGCCACTCTCTGCATTTTAGACGTTCTATCAAATCGCTCATACAAAAATTGAATTCATTCGTTGTTGAATTGTTATAAATGTGGTCTTTGTTGTGAAAATTCGATCCAAGTCCGCTGGTCAGTCAACGTTAGGTTAGCTGCGAAAATGATATCTGGGAAATAAATCCCTCATGGAGCGAACAGGGCCTCCTTGCTCGATTGATTGATTGTTGAATAGATACCACGAGAAATCTGATTGGTTGCTTTTATTGTATGATATAAAGGATACTGCTAATATTAATGTCGGACGACACACCGAGATTTGTATTTCAAGTTCCTAAAATATATATCAAGTTGTGTAGTAGCCATTGAAGATATATCTAAAAGCAGTCTGTTAGGAAGGATGTTTGCGGAGTGCTTGACCTTGTAATTCGCTTCCAAATCAAGCTTTGTGAGAGAGCACGTTTTAAGAATTGCTGGGGTTCTGGGTTGGCACGGTCGCTGGGTGAATTCCATGTGGCTGTAAAAAGTTGTAAATACCATATCCAGGGCAAAGCAGGTTGACATATCCCATCCCGTGTACTAGGTTCTTGGTACATAAGTAGTCCTCGTTTTCAGCACTGCACTCTTCTCCCACATCTAACAAGTCGTAAATTTCCCCATGCTAGCGAAGCCTCCGTGAATTGACAAATCAAATAGTCAAACTTTCGTTATCGGATTATTAGATAGATTGGCCTTAATAAATAAGACTCGGGACGTAGAAGTCGAAATATTTAGCTGAGAGAACATTGGAAGACGAACACAAGTGAGACGCCCCACGGTCTCTTTTTTGAAAAAAGTTTCGTTTTTTGTTGGGCCATATCTCATACTCTCCATCTTATCAACTTTTGGCATCTCAAGCGTTTTCGACGAACCCATTGAACTCAAAGATATAGGCCAGCACAAGTTGTTGAAAGCTTCTGGTGTGAGTTCGTTCTCGCGTGTACACACAAAGCGCTCCACAAAGTACTACCACTCCAGATACAGCCAGCGTGAGAAATTCTACGTTTGTAGTAATTCCTAATCTCCGTTCTGATGTACAACATCAAGTACAACCAGGAGTCTTACTAACAGCCTCGCGTAAGATGTCAAGTTACTCTTGGTTTCGTTCTCGTCGATTTTTCGTAAGGCTGGATCTTGGCTACAATTTTGATGATGGTCATGTTACCAAAGAATTATCACGAGTTCTGAAAGCTACCAAATCTTTTCTGTTGGTCTGGCGTGGGGTTGGAGATTTGTGTCATTTATGTCTGTGGGCATAGCATTGGTGGCTCTCAAGTTGTAAATGATGATGTGCTACCACCCCTTTCGCTATCGTGATAGGACCTACCATTAACCCCATTTTTCTGCAACTTCTTTACCATTCGTCGATGTGCGCGGGTTGTAGAATGCGCTTGCCATTGAGCTTCTGTCATAACGACGATGTGACATGTTTCACACCTCTGCGGCACCCAACGGGCTTTGCTCTGGGAATGTTGCAAGGGCTTTTCGGGATTTAGAAATTCTCCGGCTAGAGTTGACATTCCACTTGGTGATGGCAGCTTGCTGCCTAGAAGGAATTCTTGGGTAATACCAATAGCAGGGTCTGACACATTCTCTAACCATGATGATACATCAGTTCCATCGAGAAGATATAATCTATCGAGGGCGTTGATTTGAACAAGACTTGGTATCAATTTCAGACCAATCCATCGAATTTGTCTTTTCGCATATTGTCGGGTGGCTGCCTTCATTTTTTCTAGCGAATCATCGCGGAGGGCATCTAGCTTCTTTGGATCTCTGTCCTCCTGCTCAAGGGCGCGTAGGTACAGCTCAAATTCCTTCCAGCCGATAGAGGCCCATATTCCACGAGAAAGATCAAGATCAGCACCACCACGAATATATTCTTGGCGAATTGTCTCCATAGACTTGACTTCATCCAATAGGCCAACATCAATCATCTTATCGACTCTTTTGTCAAGCCTCGATTTGAGAATGTCTGATTTCGCATGAACCCAAAATAGCAGTGGTGAGCCTATGTTGAATGTGCCTGGATGATCTGATTTCCCGTCCGAGGTTGCCTGGGCCATGGCTTTTGCCTCTCTCTGCTCCTTATAGATATCGGAGGCTCTCTTTCCACTTGTTAAGAATATTTGCAGCGATGTTTGAATTTTGCGCCGGTCATTGGGATGCCACTGCGCAGCCATGGTGGGATCAACTTCCTTCAATCGATCCAGTATTTGTTCTGTGGGTGCATCGAGTATTGGGAATCGTTTGGATATTTCGTCTATGGAGAGTTGTTCATTATCCGGCCCTTCCCCAGAACCTTTCCCGGAGGAAACGAGCTCATGTTCAAATAGAAGAGACTGTGTATAGTAATGCGTTCCACCTACTACAATGGGTATCCGCCCCCTGGATCGAATTTCTTGGATTATCTTGCTTGCTCGATCCTTGAATGTCCCTACCGTCCATGTTTCCGCATCCAGGGGAATAAATCCTAGCAAGTGATGTGGGATACCATTTTGTTCTTCGATAGTGACCTTGTTTGTAATGATAGGCAAGCCTTCGTACATTTGCACAGCATCGCCATTTATTATTTCGCCATTAAATCGTTTTGCGAGGTCGATAGCCAACTGTAGAATAATTAATCAGCCCTCGTTCACAATGACAGACTTCTAGACCCACTTGTGATTTTCCAGTACCAGTCGCACCAAGAACAAATATCAAAGGATTCTTAGGAACTGCACGAGCCATTGTCAATAGCTTCCTATATTTGTTCTGTATTTGATGTAACATTAGAAGGACTTAATTGAGTGACGGCATTGGGCATAGTTAAAATAATTTGGTATTCTTATTAGTGGGGCTAGCCTTGTCAGCCTAGCCTGCAAGGCTACACTCACACTCAAAACCAATTGCCGGCCAAGAGTCTTTTGAAGTACCTGGGTATCGGACCTGAAAGTTGTGAGAACCAAGATGCTCATCTGGAGCTGTCATAGCTGCCATATGCATAGGCAGCTGTCAGAAAACCGAAAATTGTAAAGGGATGGTGAGATAATTTAATATGAATTAATTTGATTAATTATCAAAAGGCCCTCCCATGTCATACCTGTCAATGCTCAATATGCAGTCCTGAACACCTCGCTAAGAATATCTAACAGCTGAAAATCCCTTACGATACAATATCCTCAAGAATGTTTTCTAATTCCTCCTTTCTAAAAGGTACAAATAGCACTTCTGTCCCCAGAGCATCTTTTCGACTCTCTATCATTTGATGATCATGAAACCTAAGCAAGGATTAGCTATCATCAGATATCGATGCGACAAATATAAACTTACTCTTTCAACAAAGTTCTGAAATTCATTTCATTACTACAAATGAACTCCTCAACAGCTTTCTGGTATAGCACCCGGTATTCGACACCAGGCTCATTCTTCCTACTAGAAACTCCCTGCGCGCCATCTTCATCGTCATCATTATGCTCACCTACGAGGTTTTCATCCATAGTTGCAAGTTGTTCCCCTACCAAGACTCTGAAAAGATTCTTTGCATTTTCAGGCAAACTCTTGAGCACAAAGCTCACACCGCCTTTGCCCCCTACTTTGCGTCCGCTTCTCCCCAGAAGTTCGTGTACTTCATCTACAACATCGACTTCTACTGTGTAAGGTAGAAAGGTTGTACAATCGTGAAATATAAAGTTGAAAGCTGAGCGAAGCGAACTATCCCACAGCAAATGGAAGGAAGGGTGATCTACAGACACAACCAGATGTACCTGTGGGTGTGAACTCAAGCGTGAGAGTATTGTTTGGGATGTAGGGCGACGAAGAGCGGATCCATCAAGAGAATGGATTATCAGAGTCACATGTTGAGTTTTGTCTTCATCAAGTATATTCGTGAGGTTTTCAAGCATTTCTGCGGGTTGTGAACCTATTTTCGTGCCATGACCAGAGATAGAACAGGCTATAGTATTCAAAAGCTCTCGAATTGTGAGGTTTTGCACATAGCCATTCACTACAACTATTCTCTCCCGGGAATAATCAGTCATTGTGTTGTAGATATATTCAGCAAATTTGAGAAGAAGAGACCTTTTTGAACCCCAACCATAAACACAGATATTGAAGTCCTGACCGAGCTCAAATTGCCATTGGTTGAAAGATTTGGCATGCACATCTTGTAAAAAGTTCATATCGTCTTCGTGCTGGTCTTTGTAGTTCCGGGCAAGACTAAAATATTCTTCGTGATCGAGTAACGCCAAAGAAGATAGATTAGAATTCGCAGTTTTGGACCTCCCAGGCCTATTTTGAGAGAAGTATAATTCGTGAGGGGTAAGATCCTGAGGTGGTGTCAATGATCTTTGCCGAGCCTTTGTCCCCTTTAATTGCCCTCGTCTATGCTTGGAAGGAGTAGATGGTTCGTGTAGCTCTTCAGATACTTGAATTGTATCGTCGTTGCCTATTTCAACTTCACCATCTTCGTCTGAGTCATATATCTGGTTCGCAATGTCCTCCTCTTCGTCATCGTTGTCGCTATTGAGGCCTAATACGGTACGTTCAATGAGGGTTCTAGTACTCTTCCTTCTGGCCGATCGATCAATGTTGCGTCGAAGGCGTGGAGTTTCATCTGTCCCAGTTATACCTTTGACTTTGATAGGCGTTGCGAATAATTTGTCGCCATGCCGTAAAGACTTGGGAGTCGATTGATTCTGAGCTTTGAGTGGGCTTAAGGTTGGACCCCTCGGTGAGCCATCAGCCTTCGACCGCGATTCTGGTAGCGTAGCATTATCGCTGTTTGGACTGATTTCTCTGTCTTCCTTCGAATCTTCTAAGCCGATAATGTTCTCTTTTCCCCCTGTAGGTGATCGACTTCGTTTACTTGTAATATTGTTATTTGAAAGAACAACGCCCTCGGATTGATAATGTACTTCTGCCGATATTCGATTACTTGATCGTGTTCGTTTCACATGAAGGTCGTTGTTGCCTCTTATTCTTTCCTTCTCGTCTTGTTGTTTTCTTTTCATCGCGAGTTTGAAGATACTATGTCTATCCGGACAAGCATTTGAATGGAGACAATTTATATGCTAATTCAGAAATTTATTACCTTAAGATAGCCTTGTTCGTCAATTGCCCAATTGAGGTATAGGGCATCAGTGAATTCCATATCGGCAAGGCTTAAACGCGGGGGATCGCGGTTGCGGTTGTGGTTGCCTGGCACATTCGCGTCCGATCTAATCCTTGTAAGTAAACAAAAAGGGTTCAAGCACTAGGTAATTGAAGAAAGTTTATGTACAGTATGATATCTTCAATAGTTTTGACCACCAACTTCTCGAATTATTAATTGGTAGACAATCTATGGGCAGTGATTGTTTATACACTCCTTACATTCTGCTATTTTAATTATGCTCAACTGGTGGTTGGGACGGCCAGATGGTGCTGAGAGCGTTGCAGGTATAAACTTATCACAACTTACCTAAGTATATAGAAGATGTGAAATGCTTACACTTCACAGGCATAGACCCCGAGGTAGATGCACCGGAGACTCCAGCCCCGGTTTTCGCTGCTCGCGCACTCAAAAGTGCCTTCTTTGGTACACCTGGCCTTCCTCAAGACGATACGCTATATGGACTTGAGAAGGAGGACGATCCAATAACAGACAGAGATATCCGACTGCCACATTATCTATCAGCTTCCCCAACAAAACCACCAGGAATATTAATGACCCCTGGAACTGCAGCTACTCGAAGAAAGACTGTGTCTTTCGGATCGGATGTTGATGATAATGAAGGAAAGGACAGGCCACAGAAAATTGTTGGCAGGGCACCAACACCGGGGAAGGCCCTCACTTCGTGGATCGCCCAACCGGAAGAATTATCTCAGCCAACCAGAAAGACCTCGCTTTTGAAGACTTTAGAAGACTCTCGTGGATCGGACAGTGCATTCAAAAAGCGCAATCAATCTTCCACAACCTCTTCAACATTACCAAATTCGACTTTGTCCAAGGCAAAGGATGTAAAGACACGGAACGACACGAAGGAACCAAAAATCTCGCGATCCAATGATAAACAGCTAGCGAAAGAACCAATGTCTGGAGTCGACAGTGATGCAGATATTACGATTGACATCAACGATCCTCGGTCCCAATCTGGCAAATTCTGGAAATCTGAATTTCAAAAGTACCACGATGAGGCACAGATTCAGATGAAGAAGCTAGTAGGGTACAAGCAGCTCGCAAAGTCTTATGCAAAGAAAAAAGATGCAGAAGCTCTCGATCTCGCAGAAAAACTGAAGGAAGAGCAAGCTAAAGTTGCTTCAATGGAAAACAATATTACTGAGCTTATGTCACAGATTGCAGCAGATGGGAAAGTTAAAGGGGATACTTCACCGGCACTCATGAGAGAACTTGCTCGTCAGACTGCCTTGGCTTTTCAATATCGTGTCCAAGTCGAAGAATTTCGCAAAGCTATGGAAGGGGATGGAAGTCTTGCGGCAGCTGTCCCAAAGACTGAATCGAGGAATGCGAAGAACGAACCCAGAGACACGGCCTCCATCCAAGATGAATTAGGGCAAGCTTTACAGGCTTTAGCCACCGCCGATAGAACTGTTTCTAAGCTTCAAGGAGAAAACAACAAGCTTTCACAAGATTTGCTACATTCTGACCTGCGATTCGAGAAGCATACAGAAAGCTGGGAGAAGCGTTTAAAGCTCGTAGAAGGACAACGCCAGAAGAAAGAGGATCGCTTAAAGGCTCTTCAAAAAGATTACGATCACATGAAGCAAACGGCAAAGAGTTCAAGACGCGACGCAGAGCAGCTTTTGAGAAAGCGTCATGATCAAGTAGTGGAACTTAAGAAAGAAATCGCATCATTGAAGGGCGAACAAACAACTACAACAGATTTGGAACAGGCTCTTCACATCAAGTCCATCGAATACGATACAATGGTCGATGCATACGAGAAGGAGATAGCCAAATTGAGAGAGCTTGTTCGTGGTTCTACCTATGACGAAGTAACAGGATCGGGCTATGATTTGTTCCGAACCAGAAGCCATCCAACTGAGAAGTCGCATGCTTTTACAAGTAATATTCCAGTCTTGAATCATTCCATTGCACGGCCATCCAAAACAGTTGCCTCATCTAAACCTGCACATCTTGGAGCACCCACTGATATCACACAACGATCGTCACATACAGCCTTGTCTGAGATTACTAATCTTGCATCTATGGAGCAATACGCTTTCCAGAAATCGAAGAAGGTTGATTATACTCCTCTCGCCAATCGATATGCGGATCTCTCCCTCGATTCACCAAATGTGAACTTGCAAGCCGAAGATCCATCATTGCCTCCTCTTCGTGCACGAACTAGTCGCGAGAGGTGTCTAGACAGCCCTAGACCAAAGATATATAACATTCCCTCAAGTCCTCCTATAGCTACAGTATCTCGATCTAGAGCCGTTGACCAGTTGAAGTCAAACAATGAACATGGGGTATCTCGTCCGACCACTATTGCATCGAGCCGAAGGTCCAGTCCATCAAAGTGTGCCTTGCCTCCAGATAGAGTTGCAGCTGCCAAAGCGAGGCTAGCCCAAAAGAATGCGGAGAAAAGAAAAGCTCAAGCATTAGGGACGAACAGCATTCGATAATTCCAGTCTGACTTGAGCGTTGGTCACATTACAAATTTTGGAAGTGGAATACTGATTCTACTGGAATTCATGTAAAGGATAATTCTCGGCGTTTATTAATGGCAATACCAACAGGACGGCGTTATATTGTATTAGCAAAATTTGTACCTTGGTACCTCGTTATATATTTTTCACTTTTCGCATCAATCCGTCGCACTTTTATCATGAAATGACTTCAAAAAAGATGTGAAAGTTTGTAATCCACATCTCTAGACTCAACTGGAACCATGAATGTCTGTTGCCAAGCTATTAGGAGTTCAATATTTGCACAATGTTCAGCAAATCGAGTAGTGATGTTGTTATTAGGAATAGAATAGGAATATAGTATAAAAGGGGTATATTCGCTTACAGTGGCTACACTTCAACATTATGCCGACCACTGCACGTGAAGTGTGTATGTAATAGTGCAATTTTGGAAGTGAAATCAGTGATAGATAAATCTAAACTTTTGGTTGGAGTCGTCTTTTAATCGACATACGACATCGTACCCGCAATTCGGCAGATGTCGAAGATTTCGATCGTATTCCACTTATTATCATTGTTAGCGCCACTTAGGTCCTTGTGATTACTAGGTAGGTATTGATTGCTTATCGTGAAATCTACTCCGTGCCCCTCGCCTCTCGGTGGCTCCGTTCATGACACGGCATAAAAATGGGAACTGCCAACATAGATACTTGAAACCTCGAGTTGGTACGTACTTGTTTGTATTGATAAGTTTACCATAGGTAGGACACATATCGTACTGCTGAACGAATCCGAAAATCACCACTTGGAGTTGGATGATACGGCATCAGTCCGGCAGACAAGTGGCTAGCTACTGTTGGTGATTCTGCACTCCGTACGAAGTATGCCATGCCTCAGTATTGAAATCACTAAAATCATGCGACTCGGGTTTTAACTATTTTTGGGGGGGGAGGTAAGCGCAAGATGCTCACTCGACTTTATCCTGACACTTCTTGGAATCCGCAAGAATCCAAAGCTTCAAACCATTTTGGGGTACTCACTGATTCACACACATTTTGTCATTTTGTCATACATAATCCTTGCGCTCTGAAGGCGAGTCGCTGGTGTCCGAAAAATACCGTAGCAAACATTCTGCAGAGTACTAGTATGTATGGAGTAGTAGCGCACCGTACCTTGGGCAAATCAGCCAGCGAAACTTTATTAGTCCTTCACTAGTCCTTAACTATTTTAAAGTCTTACACTAGGTATTTTAAGCTCTCACAAAACAATACATAACCCTCGACTTTCTACCATCTCTTTTCTCTTCGAGGATACTTGCAAAAGCCTCTCTACTCTTCCAGCTCAATCTATAAATCCCCCCTGACTCCTGAACTCCTGAATCCTGACTACTCAATACTCAATACTCTACACTCTACACTCTACACTCTACACTCTACACTATACACTCTACACTCTACACTCTACACTCTACACTCTACACTCTACACTCTACACTCCGACATTCTACAAGGTCTCACTTTCGACACCCAACCTTGTTGGTCATCCACTCTTAAACAACCTCATCTCCATCATTCATTCACATTCATTCAGTCTTACTCGAGTTGTTTCTAGTTCAAATCATCCTACTATAACCACCACACTAATTAAACCTGTCTCGACTCCCAAGCACTTTACAAAAATTTACATCTCAATTTCTATCAATACCATTTGAGGGTGCACAATAAAGAACATCATCAAAATGTCTGCCGTTGCCGCCAAAAATCGTTTGATGTCCGAGTACAAGGGACTGGCCAAAGAGAAATGGGTCAATATCGAGGTAGGAGATTCTTGCATAATGGCTGCTCTTCTCGAAACTCACTAATCTTATTGCACAGATGAATGAAGACTCCCTCTTTAAATGGCAAGTCGGTTTGATGGTTGTTAACGATGAGAGTGCTTTCAACGGTGCTTACTTTAAGGTGAGAATTCTTTGTTTTGTTGTGTTCTACAGCCGCTGATTTTCAACCGCAGGCCGAAATGACTTTCACCGACAATTATCCTTACAGCCCTCCTACCTTCAAGTTCCTCCGACCAATTCAACACCCTAATATCTATCCCGATGGTAAATTATGTATCTCAATCTTGCACCCACCTGGAGAAGACGAGCAATCCGGAGAATCTGCTAGTGAACGTTGGTCACCTCTACAAGGTGTTGAATCCGTCTTGCGTTCCATCCTTCTGCTCCTTGATGATCCCGAGATCAATTCTCCCGCCAATGTCGATGCTGGAGTTATGTACCGTGATTCTAGAGAAAAATATAACGAGAAAGCTAAGGAGGCTGTTGCTGCTTCGAAACAGGATATACCGGCCGGATTTGAGATGCCGAAAACACTGGAAACTGCCCCTCCTGCGAAACTTGTAGACGACGATGCGTTTTGGGCTGAGAGTGATGAAGAGGACGACTTTGGCGCCAGCGATAGTTCCGACGCAGACATGGAGAACGAAGACGAAGAGGAAGAGGATGGCGAGGAACAAGAAGAGGACGATGAAGACATGGAAGATTGAGGAGGAGAGCTATCAAGTCTGACTCATTCTTGAAGCTCATTGCTTCTCTCAAACTTCCCAAATGCTCTCGATACCGACTACTTCGTCAAAATTGCACATGGTCACAACTTGCGATAGAGGGAGGGTCATTTAATTTACTTTACAATGCATAGCACAGCGGCGGTCTGCTCGGTTTACATGGTAGGCGCAACGGAAAATGCATGTATATTTGCATTTTAGGCGTACGTATAACATGCTTTTCACATTTAGGGATCTTAGCGCTTTTAGATTATGGGGGAATATGGATTGGGTGTTACGTATTTGAAGGGCATGATTTGTCTATGGCTTTTGCAGTAGGCAGTGAAATAGGGTAAATAGTTGTAGGTTATGAATAGGAATACTTCAATACAAGATAAGTTTGCAATAAATGGTGTTGATAGTTCATACTGCTCGCACTTGAGATGACAACTTTTTCCTGCCTATGGCGGCGTGAGGTCCACCGATACAGAGCGATTCCAATCATCCCCCTTTGAAATGTTTCAAAGCTTTATGTCTGCACTTCCATTCCCAAACATATATATCTAAGAGCTCTGAAACGATGCGTGTAGCGCATCCACAATAAGCGGTACACTAATGAGAATACTGTTATATATAGGTACTTTGACGAGATTCCTCTGTGTGTTTTCTACTCAATACGCCTCTAATCTCTTAGGGAAATGGATTTGGTTAGTGGACTTCTCTAGACTCGAGACGATTTGATCGGAACGGGATATGGAAGTAGAACAATACACTGAGGGAACCCTTTAGAAACAGGACTATGTCATAGATTCCAATCTAGTGTTGATCTATAGCTAATGCACACACTAATCTTGTTAGTGAGGATCTCTAGGTTTCTCTAAGGCTCTCTTATTAATAACAGCATGACTATGCAAGTTTCTATAGTTTGTGTTTGGAATAACTAGCACGATGGTTCCATCTGTTTACTTTACAACTTGACGTGATTCACTTTTCTATAGAGTCGGGTAGATAGTCGAACCATTCTTTATACTATCACTACTCTTTGATGGTTCGTGAGAACTGGACAAGCATCTTGATCTGTTGTTCAGTCTTGCCATAAGGCTGTTTTTCCTTGATATATACTTAGGTAGTATTCAACGAAAGGTTATGTGAAACTTGTGTATTGTGATTAGTAGATTGCCCTCCAGCTCAGAGATGAGGTTGTTATGAGGTCTCTTGAGAAACAACCTCTTCTCTCCGTAGTGAATGAGCTCTACCCCTACTCTTCACTTCCAGGTTGGGCTTAGTATGATCTACTGCGTAATATTTCTTCGAAATGAAGGTGTGGTGGTCCTGGTGGGGTTGATATGAAGCTCGGACTTCTATGCTCCCCAGCCCTAACATCCCCGGATCTCGCCCATCAAACAATTCCCATCTTGTTTTATCAACCTTCTTTAGTAAACTACCCTAGAGTCTACTGGTAATTGTACCCTTTCTGTCATATTGGCAGTTCAGCTGATCTATTCAATCTTCTCTTTGATTTACCTGTTCTTGCTTCCTTTGCTTTTGCTTTATGACCTGGGGAGAAACCAGAACCTTCAAGAATCTAATATAGCTGCAAAGGTCATAAGTCGAGAGCAATTTGAAGCTTGCTACCACCTACCACCGCGATCATGGCAGCGCAACCAGCTGCTCAAGATGTGCAATCCTTCCTGGATATGACTGGACAGACAAACCGACAAGAGGCTATCTTGAGATTGAAGGTGGGGTTATTCCAGCTAAATAATTTCTCCCAAAGTCCAATGCTGATATAGACAGGGCAACAATAATAATGTTCAGCAAGCAATCAACGAGTACTATGATGATATTGATCTTGGAAGAAACCCTAATCGAGTCAGTATGAAATCGCACGATGTGGTATTAGGTCACTGACTTGATGATGGCAGTACACTTGGGATGATAGCCAATTCAATAGAGATCGTGATGGAGGTGGTGCGCAACATGGTATTTGTGTGTTCTTTTATTTTGAATCAAATATCTGAAGACTCTTGCTAATTTTTTTTCCTGCTGCAGCTTTCGCAGTCCAAGGTCCAGATGAATTTCCTGCCTATGCTCATTTCGAAAGTGCGGCACCCTCTAGACCACCATCTAGAACTAGTAACAATAAGTCGCCTCTGAGCAAAGCTGTGGATCTCACGACTAATGGTATGTCCTCTTTCATGCTTCCGGTTCGCACATTCTAACACACGGTTCGGCAGATTCTACCACTGCCTTTACCCAATATGTCGACAATGATGATAAAGAACTCCAGCAGGCACTTGCTGCTTCTATGGCAGACTCTAGTTTGCCCCCACAAGAATCTGGCATTGTGGGAACAGATAAACCATACTTTGGTCCTGCTACAAGATCTGACTATGGAGATAATTGGGCCATGGTTCCTATATCAACTGTCAAGGAAATCTATGAAGACCCAGAACCTTGGGATCGCGTGCGAATCTGGGAAGACCGAAGACCTACCACACCCGCCTTTCTTAAGCCTTCTGGAGACGCACATAGACTAGGTGCTCTTCTTACCATCTATTATAACATTCCCATCGCCCGTGAGGTATTCCTCAGAAGAGACAACGTCGAGACCTACTATCCATACGAGGCTGGTTGGTGGAGCGGCAGACCAATAGATCACCCGATCGCATCGTTGCAGGAAGACCCCAACTTCGTAGCTGACGATCGACGATTCGGCCAGGAGCTCCAGAAAGTCATGGCTTTCTTAGACAAGACAACGCGAAGCTACGGCTCTGTGGATGTCATTACCGACCTTCCATATATGCAACAAAACGCTGGAAATGATGTTGAGACTGATTTTTTCCTGTGTTTTAAGAATTTGATGCAGGGCAAGGCACCATTAAAACACATCTTTTCTTCAGCTACTCATGCTCCAGATCCCGACTCTGATGGAAATACTATATTTGCTATATTCGACCTTCATCTTCCCACAAAAGATTCTCTTGTCGAGAATCTTTATGATCTTGCAGATGGAGCTCTATGGGATGGTTGTCCTCTGACTCTCAAAAATTGGCCCTTCTTGAATCATCTCGGCGACGTCATTTCTTTCAGAATCAAAGGTGATAAACAGAATGATCAGAAAGCAATTGAAGTGCCAGTAGTATGGTATCCTGATAGATATCTGCAGTTCGTATCTGAAGATACATTAGCTATGCGTACAGAAAAGCATAATTTGCAGTTAAAAATTCAGGAGATTTCTCGACAAGAGAGGCAATTAAAATGGACCACTCACAATGGAAAAACACTTCTCGTCGAAGATGTTATGAAATTGTCACTCAATCATGATCAGAGTGAGCTTCCACCCAGCAACAAGAGTATGGGCGATCTTACCTCTGAGATGCCTATGGGCGGACCAAAGAGTGCAGATTTATCTAAAGGAATCAAAAAGCTGATGGATAACGTAAATGCAAAGCTGAAGAGTAAGCTCACAAAGAATGGACAATGATTATCCGACTAACAGCATCTTTAGAACTACAAGATGAAAGAGAAAAAGCCAAAAAAGCATGGAGAGAGCTTTCGAAGTTGTATACAGACCCCGCCAAGTCTTCTCGGATATTGCACAGATACACTCTTCGTGGCGTAAGCTTGACTAAAGAGACGACATATGTTTGCACCCGTATAGCACCGGACCTCATTGATTTCGCCGCCAATGAAGAAGAGCGTATTCCTCCTAGTGATGGTCAGTGGTGGAGAATGCACTTTAGTACCTCTTCTCCCCCTTCAATAACAGTGGAAGTGAGTATTATGAGAAATTCAACTTGCGAAAATTCATTAACAAAACAATAGAAAACCACCTTGGAGAAAGTTTTGGAGGATATCAAAATTCAGAACGAGACGGCAATTCTAGTTTATGCTTCTGACGAGGCAATGGAGACGGCTACGCGATCAACACCTCCACAACTTGAAGTATGATCGTTCCTTTCTCCGCCCTGATATTCTTACTAACAATATCTAGACCTTCATTTATAATGATAATGCCGCTTTTAAAAAGGAATTCCCCAAGTCTCAACCTCCAGTGAATTCCCCCGACGAATCACAACATTCACCAAGATCTCCAGGAAAGCGCAAGCGTGGGCAGAATACCTCTACCTCAGCCTACAATGACGAATGGAATGGAGTCGGATCCTCTTCAAACACTTCTAGAAATTCAAACACTTCGATGAACGACGAACAGAATGGAGTCAAAAATGAACCCTCGTACACTGACGCTTCGTGGGCGATGTCCCAATCGGAGGCTCTACAAACTCGTTACGCTCTAAGTGATCCAATGATTGTGGGTGTCGATCCATTTCCCAATGACACACCACAAGAAATGCAAGAACGTAGTGGTAGCGGCATGTTACAAAACTTCACTGGCAACTCTGTTGAGAAAGGTGTGATTAATGATAGCATGGAGATTGGGGATATCGAGACTGATGATATGCAACCTGAGGAAGAAGACCTCACGCTGCCTACTCGTCAGAAAGATGACGGCACTACGGTCAAACGAGTTGAATTTTTTGAGTAGGTTTGGTTGTGGCTAGATGATATTCTTGGTTTCTTGCAGTCAACAAACCAAGATGGATGGATGACATTTTGAAGTGCACATTCTCATCTTGTAAGAACATATCGAGAAGCACAATACACTGGAGACATGAGAGATTTTAAGCATGATGCATGATACACCAGGTAGGGATCACAAATTCAGTACACTAGAGATGTTTGTAGGATACCTAATTGAAACAATTATAAATTTTAAAATATCTGTGCAACGGATCTCCTTGCCAAGTGTGAAAATATATAATGCGGACTACTAGATAGCATTTGTATTTATTATCAATCGTCATTTCATTCCTCGTTTCTCATGTGAAATTCAACCTAGTCGAGGGAGTGTGTTTCTCTTCTTTCCATCCATCCGTCCATCCTAAGACACTCGGGACATCAGTCCAAATCATGCATGCTTGCTATATCCCGCTCTCACTCCAATTCCGCCAGCTAATATAAACAACAGGAAATCCCTTCCCATACGCCGAAACCCCCAAAGAGCAACGCAAAACCCGCTTACAAAATATCCTTCAAAGCCCGCTTCTGCTCCACCGTCAGACTCGTCGGGAACTTGACGTTATACTTCACGATAAAGTTACCCCTCGTGCCAGGTTGCTTGCTCAGCGGCATGCCCAAATCGGGATAGGAATCTGAGGAGCCGGGTTGAGTGGGTCCGCTTTTGTCCAGAGAGATGTTTTTACCATCGATGGTTGTGACGGTGCGGTTCCAGCCTGTCAAGGCTTCTTTGAGGTCGAGGTCGACAGTCATGATCAAGTCGTCGCCATCACGGGTTAGATAGGGATGTTTTTTCTAGTAGGTAGGTTAGTATATTTCTCGTCTATGGGTAAAACGGGAGGGAAAGCCCCTGGTGGGAAAGTAAAACATACCTCTTCGATAACAAAATGTAAATCTTGCTGCCCTCCCTCCTCTTGGTCACCAACACCCTTAAACTTAATCTTACTTCCCTTCTTCAATCCCGGCTTGATATCCATCTCCAGAATGCGATCGGTGGTCTGTCTCTTGCCCGTTTCTGGATCAAAAGTCTTCCTCTTAATCTTCATCTTTTTATGACAACCCTTGAACAATTCTTCCAAACTCAACGCTAGAGGTTTCTCCACCGTCGTCACCTCAGGCGTCTCCGCTCTCGGTCTCGCTGGTTCCGCGCCCTGGAATGCCGAGCGTGCTGGTCTGGATCGTGCGCCTGCTCCTCCAGGACTAGAGCGAGGCATTCCTCCCCCCATACTTGCGAACATATCCTCCATTCCATCCGCACCACCTGCTCCTTGACCTCTCAAAAATTCACTGAAAATCGATTCTGGATTACTGAAACTAAACCCTCCGCCGCCTGGCCCACCCGCGCTACTGAAATCATAGTGAAATGTCTTTCCTCTGGGCATGCCACCGCCAGATGAACTAAAGCCTTCAAAACCTCCAGGCATGCCTCCTGCGCTTGCATATGGGTTTCCGCCGCTGGCGCCAGGCTCTGGTGGTGGGGGGCCGCCGCGAAGCATAAATTCTAATCCATATTGGTCGTAAGTCTTGCGCTTTTCGGGATCCGAGAGAATTTCGTAGGCTTGGGATACCTCTTTGAATTTTTCAGCCGAGTCGGGTTTATCTTTGTTTTTATCGGGGTGGTGTCTTAGGGCCATTAAACTGTTGGTATGTTAGTTTTCATTCTTCTTTGGATAAGCTGGGCGTAGCGGTGGAGATGGTGATTGTGGTATAATTAAGAAGAAGGGGGGTTTTGTGATATTGTACATACCGATATGCTTTTTTGATTTCTTGTTGATTGGCAGAAGGCTTGATGCCTAATGCATCGTAAAGTTTTGTTTCTGCTACCATGTTTACTGCTCTTCAAATGTATGTTGCTGTCGAACTTTGGTTTGAGAACGGGAAACGAAATGTCGTGAAGTTCTTAGATGAGCTGTGTCCAACTTCAAAAAGATCAACAGCAAGTAGTGATTTCTTGTCTAATGAAGATGCTGAATATTGACTATGAGTAGCGAATTGGTTGTGAAAAGGCTATAAAGCAGTCGTCCACTAGAATGTGAATGTGTGTCGTCAGTGACTAGGATTGCGAGAGAGAAAAAAATCAGCAGACAAAGGTCGTATTGTAGAAGACCTCTTAAAGGATTCGAAGGAAGGTTATGTGTTGGGTTTTATGTGCTGGTTTTGCCAGTGGTGGTTGGCAAGTCTGGTAGGATTGATGGATTGATGGATTGATGGATTGATGGATTGATGGATTGATGGATTGGTTGATCTGGTGAGACTTGACGGATAGGAGGAAGGAAAAATGTTGTTCATTCGTCCCTTCCTTACAAGAATACAAGGAAATTATGAAATTGACATACCACTTTAGTAAGATTCTTCCCAAAATCTCGTGATTGTGAGCTATGAGTTGTGTTCACACCCCCTCCGTAATTTGTTGGCTAGTTTGGGTATGAGTCCTACTTGTTGTCTTTTCCCTAGATAGCTCTCGATTTCGTGACGCTGGAAGAAGAGAATATCTAGAATGGAATTGGAATCCTTTGTTGTTGTCAAGTACTAAAATAAGTAAACGAATCGAATTGAGTTGAATTGAGTTGAGTTGGGGTGAGAGATTGAATTGCTATATTATAACAACAAATCTTTATTAAGTATGTATGTATGTATGTATGTATATATGAATATCGAAAGGTCTGAATGAGTGTTGCAAGGCTTTAACAGTTTATTATTAATCTAGCTACTCGGTGCAAAGTAGCTGCTGGTATACTCATCTTCCATCAGCATCCCTCATCCACCAACAGAATCAAGAATCTTCCATCTTTCCCTCCCCGCCATTCACAGATTGGGTGGTGACGTTTGTACAGTGGGGGGTTTGGGTACTGGATAGAACAGAGGATGCATGGATTGGAAGCTTCGAGAACTTTCTATCATTTCTCGCATTTCTTTAAACAAGGAGCTTTTAGATTATAGATGATAGATGATAGATGATAGATGATAGATGATAGATTATAGATTATAGATTATAGATTATAGACGATATTAAGAAAACAAAGAAATCTAACGCTATTCGTATGTAAAATGGATTCTAGATATTTCATCTCTTGTACCTGAACTCGGAATAAAGACATAGAACTGACTGCCTAGTGCCTAACTACCTAACAGAGGTGACGAGATATTCATGTTATGGATGTTACAGCAATTGCACTAGCCACACTAGCCACCTTATACGTGCTCTTATCCGATCCTTCAGCACCTAGGCACGTGCTGGGCTAGGTACCAAGTAGAACTAGCACATTCAGAAAACTACATCGTGGTGAGATATCTCCTCTCAACTCCTACAAGCAACATTCGTTCTGGCTCCTCACAAAACTGCTGGTACTTCAATAAGAGTTTCAAGGATACCCCATTGAACGTACTATTCACACTTTCGACTCAGCGACGTTTGTGATGAACGAGGCATGCCCATTAACTTCCTAATCCTTCCGAGATGATGCTGCGGCAACTTCAGCATGCACAATCATCAAGGCAACGCAAGCTTTATCAGCAATAGAGCGATGGGCACGGGACGCAATGAATCTCACGAAGCGCAGGCACTACAAAGTCAAGCGTTACGCTCTCCAGAAAACGAAGTATCGGCGACGATTGCCCAGCACATGACTCACACTATAATCATCAAAAATCTAGTTTCAGAACAGCAGATGAGGATCGCTAACCTAAACTCCCTATACTTCTAGCAGAATACCAAGGAGCAACAAATGCGCCCATTTTATACCGCAACAGAAATCTTCCTATCATTCTCCAATTATAGCGGTCAAAATTGCCCTTTCGCATCCAAGGTACTTGGACTCTTCAATACGTTGAATTTGAGATCGTGCCACTCCTTTGCCGTCCAAGCCTTTTCATTCGAGTCACCGAATTTCACATCATCGTTCGGGCGCAAGAAATCTGCAATGCTATACCGATCCACGTCTTGTCTTTGCTTGAGCGGAACACGCGGTGCACAACGCTCGCTAGCCCTCCCCCAGATGGAAAGCGTAGACTGTCACCAACGTTGGTGATGGCGTGGCTAGCCCGGGGTTCGAGAAATTCCCTTTGTTTAGTGACTGGGGAGAGGAATTGAAGACCCCATTGTCTAGCAAGCACGAAGGTGAGAGTACCGACGTCAGTGTGCTTGTTGTGGCCTACTCTTGTAGGTTTAGTGCCTTCTTCGTGCTTTGAGTAGCGCAATATGCCGAGTGTTGATAGCGAGGTTACTCCTGCCATGTGGTTGGTGTGATAAGACTCGAATCTCTTGGAGCCGGTGGGTCCTAGCTGAATTGAGAGAGGAGAGAATCACAAGGGTGATATTGTGCGCTTCCCTGATCAATTTGATCAATGAGAAGAAGACATCTGATTGGGAGCGGACTGAGGAAGTAAGATCCGTTGAACTTTTGAGGAATTCTCGGCGTGAAATCTTTGATAGAAAAGTTAGTTGGGCTGAGAGGTGGCGTAAGCGAAGAGTGTTCCATACCTTGAGAGGTTCGTAGCCGTCGCATGTTTTTGGCTTGGGGCCCTCTTCGGTACCTATGCCCTCATAACTAGGAAGGCTTAGCGACAGATCGTAAAGATCCAAAAGGTTTTGAAAGCAAACTTTCCGAAGTTGCCATCCACTCGAGCGTCCTGCATCTTAATTTCAAGCGACTATTCGAAGTAATACTTCATTACTAGAAGCATTACATCCCACAGTTTGCATGACTCCGGATTGTTGGTGAAATCGAGATGGAGAACCCATAGTCTCGACAAGCGTCGAGCAACTCCTTGCTCTCTGCTTCATTATCAGCTCGGAGGAGGTCAAGTAAATTGTTGGCAAAGGTTTTAAAATGACGATGGGGTCAGTGATAGCGATTGCTGGAGATTTGAAGTTATGATAATGTTGATGAGAATTTGTACGAAGTTATGAAGATTTGGATTAGAATGTTGCTTTGAATCCAAATAGTTGCAGTCTTAGACTATTCTATATAGCTGGAGGGTGACAAGATCGTGATGAGTTTCAGCAAGTGTTTGAGTGACCGCTCGCACCTAAAGACATCGTCAGTGCTGGCCAAGAGTTTACCCGTGTGAGGACGTGATATGAGTGTCAAGTTGCAGTGTCAGATCATGCCGTGTTGACCTCTCTTCTGATTGCCATTATCATACCACAATAGTTCGGATGGTATTATTCGAGTTGGTACAAATCAGATGTTCGACGAGTCCTGAAACTACCATGTAGTACCGGATCACGCATGTCCAGAGCATTCTTCAATATCCTAGTTCAGGATTAGAATTCAAAAAGAGTCTTTAGGTGCGCGATTCATTTCGATCAACTCCTGCGAGCGCTAAAGTACTCTCATTAGAAATTTTCCTTCACCAGACAATCTTATTTTGACTGTCAACCCCCTTGACTTTGACTGTCAAATTATGTCACATCGTTTGTCAAGATCTGACTGCCTCATTGACTTCATGATAATTGGCAGTCAAACTATCATTGCGATCTACCAACCATGGCTATGAATGGCGTGCGAGACGATGCTAATCGAGACGGGATGTACGAAGCATAGTGGTTATATTGCCATTAGCAATTCGCTCATGCGGCCGATTGTTGCGCGTTTCGCAGATTATGCTAAGTCTGTGAACGCGGGTTACCTGCTCCATACTGCTAATTTGTCGTAGAATAGCTTGCCTCAACTTATTGACTTTATTCGACATCTTGGGAAACCTGGAAAGTTCGGGAGTCCATATCCTCAATCTGTCGTCTCGCGTGAGAAGAAGGCTGAAAACCTTCCTGTAGCTGGATTGTCCATCATGTCTGAGCGCAAGCTTGCGATAACGATAATCTATGGTGTCGGGAGTTTGATGATGGACCATTGGGCAACCCAGAGGGTTTCGCTATCCCAGAGAATGCTTATGAATGGACAAGACGCTACAAGGAGCACGCAACCCAAGAACTCACACTTGCTTTCGAAAATGGACTTGGGAAGCCATTGCTGGTCATTGGGGAAGCGCGTGTCATAATGTGTGTGATGTCTGTCGCTATTGCTTCTTCTTTGAATGGGGTTGGTGGTCCTGTTACGTATGTTCTTGATTCGGTGCGTTTTCTGCCTTGTGCTATTAAGACGCGGGACCTTTGCTATGTGAGGGATCGGGATCAATGGGAACAGGCTCAGCAGGTACTTGGTGAGATCAGAAGTATCACATAGTAGTGGGGTATAAGGCGCGAAAACGGGGGTATGTTGATTTTGGAGGTGCTCTTTATATCTACATAGGTTACCTATATCTTCTTTTTTTTGTAGTTTCTCTTACTTCATTAATCAATAAAATCATTTTTCAATACTTTTTAATGTTTTGCTTTATTTATAGATAGTGATTTAGAACAATTTTCTAAGTATTATTAATATCGATATATTAGAAATAGAAATAATAGAACTTATATAACTATAATATAAGAATAGGATTAATATTTAAAAGTAATAGAGCTATAAGATTATTATAAGTCTACATTCGGGAATTCGATATAGAATAAACCAATATAAACGATAGAGGGGTTTCGTTTATAGAGTAATGACTACAAAGCTTAAGTTATAGAGGTGCTCTTTATATCTATATGAGTTATCTATATCTTCTTTCTTTTATAATTTCTTTTACTTTATTAATTAATAAAATCAATTTTCAATGCTTTTCAATGTTTTGCTTCATTTACAAATAATAATCTAAAACAATTTTCCAAATATTATTAATGTCGGCATGCCAGGGGTAGAAATGATAGAGCTCATATAGCTATAATATAAAAATAAGATCAATATTTAAGAGTAATGAGACTGTAAGATTGTTATAAGCCTACATTCGGGAATCCGGTATAGAATAAACCAATACAAACGACAGGGGGGTTTCGTCTGTGGAGTGGTGGCTACAAAGCTTGGGCCATGGAACTACCTCAGCTGGGTAGGTGCATATGCATGGCGCCGTTTGCAGGGGTTTCTACCCCCCCCGCTTCCCGTACATAAACTACCGGCGTGCCTGGGTGGGTATATAAGCTAAATATGTAAATACTAAATATTTCCCACCTACACACACCCCACGTCTCTGACAAACGCATATGCAGTCATTTCGATTCACAAGATCGTCTTCTCTTCTACAGTATTCAGTATTTGTCCTCGGCGAATCTATACAGCAAGCGACTGAGTATTGAAAAATATCGTATGTCCCAAAGATCGTGTTGTTTAAACCCCCAGTCCTCAAGTATCCTTCTTGGATATCCCAGCACATATCTGACAAATCACTAGATGATCAAACCAACCAAACTCATCTACCAACAAGGTGGAGACAAACTTCTCCATCCCGCTAAAATCCTCTCCGTCATCCCCGTTTCCGCCCTCCGTGATGGAGGACTTGGGGAGGTATCCGTGTGGAGGGGCCCATGTGCGTGATTTTAATCGGGTGGGAAAGATGGAGGTGAGGAAGATTCCGCGAGCGAAGGGGTTGATGAGGGGTTCGTAGAGTTATGTAGGTTGTTTTGTTGTTGATGAGGGTTTCGGAGTTGTTTAGTTGGAGTAGAAAGTTTGGACGAAGAATGTGCTGTTGGCAATTGAGATGATTATTCTCATGTGTTCATTTTTAATGTGTTATAGCATCAAGTTACTGGAAGGTTTAGTTATTGTAGTTTCCAAAGTTACAACAAATATAGTAATTGAGACTACTCGAGTAGTTCATTCTTCAAACCTCCCAAAGGAAAAGGTTACAATTGTTTGTGTATACGCACCAGCATGATAGTTGATCTGAATGTGTTTCTCCTATTTACTTCAATTACATGATTTTTTCAGGGCCCTCAATCCGAAGTATCTAACATTTGAAATCATTCAATGTAAGTCAATGTACCTCGTCATTCTTTCAAAGAGGAGGACTAATATCTAGTCCAGTCACAGTCAACTTGAACGCATCATTTCTGTCCACGCAAATTAGAAACATCCCAAACCATCTTCTAAGAACAGACATACCTTGAATAACTCCCCGCAACATCTAAATCCAATCTGCCCCTCAAACAATCATCAAAATCCACCTCCGCCATAATCAACCCATCCTCCTCCTCCCACAACGGACCTTTCAAAATCTCTCCTTGCGGAGAAACAATACAAGAACCCCCTCTAGATGTAAACTCCTCGCTTTCAGATTTCTCGCCGTAGATCCAAGCTGGTTGGTCCTGTTTCTTGATACATTGATTCGCACTCAGGACGAAGCATCGACCCTCACAAGCTACCGTTCTGATGAGTGCTGTCCAGGCATCGCGATTATCGGCGGTGGGAGCGAGATAGAGATTCACGTTTTGACTGTAGAGTGAGTGGCGCAAGAGAGGCATGTAGTTTTCCCAGCAGATGGCAGCTGCGAGGGTTAGTTTGACGCCTTTGATGGTGGTGGTTACGGCGCGGAGGGAGGATGGTTGGCCTTGGCCCCATACCAGGCATTCGCTTCCTGTCTGTATACCCAGTAGTAAGCGATTTTATCCGGGATGCGAAGATGTTTTTGGAAAAAAGACTCACCGGCATCACTTTTCTCCTTTTACCAATCACTAGCGCCGAGTTAGCTTGTACTTTCTCATAGAACCTCACGCGTCAAGAACTTTAACACCCACCCCCTAACTTCGGACACACATAAACCACAGCACAGTAAAGCGTTCCACCCGCTCTCTCCACAAACCCGGTAACGATAAAAATCCCCGTCTCCCTCGCCACTGCCTCCAATTCCTCTCTCGTCCCATCTCCTCTCCTCACATGACTATCTCCTCCTCCCTGTCCCTCCAATTCCCTCTTTACCCATTTTTCTCCCGCCCCCTCAGGCGTATCCCCCATATCCACCGCATCTTTGAAATAATTCAAAAATTGTTCTCGACCTCTCTGGTCACGCGATCCGACCACAGCCCCGAAATCCGCGCCCCGTGGATACCCACCTAGATAGGCTTCGGGGAAGAGTATCAAATCGGGAGAGGGAGATTGCTTGGACGCTTTGCGGCATTGTTGTGATAAAGCTGCGAGCGTTTCGGAGGTGGTGGATAGAGTGTGGGATTGGGAGACTGCGAGGGTGAGGGTTTGTGGTGCGGACATTTTTGCAGATTCAAATATGCAGATCAAACGTGTGAGATTTTGATGCTAAAATGTGTTTCATGGTAGTGAGTTCGTTTTCATCTTTTTGGAGGAATACGGTACAGTGAACACGTAATATAGCCTGCGGGAATTAAGTCCCACGTTCAACTGTGGGGGATGGGGTTGCAGGCCTAGGGTAAGCACTATACCCAATTGAAACATGCATAGCACGTGCTACAGAGTTGTCGTTGAACATAATTCCAAGCCATATTATGTTAACGCTCTATAAATCGCGACAAGTAAATACCATAAGCCTCACTGACATTCTCCCCATCTCTTTGCCACTTGGAGTTCGTATCGCTTTTGCGAAATAGACGCCCATCAACATTAGAATTAAGCTACGGAAGGAACTCACTCCCGCATCTACACAGCACAATTGGTGGAATAAACTCCTCGATTGGGATCTATCTCAAGCAGATATTCAGGGACGTGCTTGTGCTGGCTTCGTATCTAGAAAAGCACGCCACGAGTCACCAATAACAGGTTCCCCATCCCGATGTCCATCCTGCATGCACCGCGCAGATAACCTTATGCAGATCACATCTAGATCATCCCCGGGATATCTAATCCTTGTAGGGAGGGGCCTTATTTTCCCCGGTAGCTGCAGCAGTATGTATCCTGCAATGTCAACGTTAGTATCGTGCCAGGGACGTCAGTGTGGATTGCGTAAAAAATCAATCGACTATATATAGTACTCTAGTTCTAACCTACGCGAGAAACTAGTCCTTGTGAGGATATGTAGGTGATCATGATTAGCGAAGAATCTAGATCGAAAATTTACGAAATACTCGTGTGGCCAATAAAGGTAACATGTCTCGTTGTTCAGTATTCATTCAGAATACTTATGTATTAAGGTTATAAGAAATAGACATCTCAAAGCATATGCACGATGTTTACTATAACTTGAATTGGTCTAGTCGCTGATGATTGTCATGAGCTTAGTAAGATACAATTGAGTTGTATCCCGCAGTGAGAAAATCTTCAAATAAAGGCCGGGAAAAATGATTCTGCAGTTTTACATATAATCACTGAGATTATTAAATCGTATGCTTCTATTCCTTTGACTTTTTTCTCCTTCTCCTTCTCCTTCTCCTTACTTCCCTGTGGAATTGTGAATATCAGTTTTTCGACTAAAAACACCCTTTCGAGGAACTGCTAGGCGAGTTGGACTCTTAAGAGATATTCTGGAACGTTCAGGAATACTAATTTGTTATCCCAGATTCATCTATCTCTTCACCATCATCAAATCAGAAATTCTACAACCAAGCGAATCAGTATATCCATACATTCTGCATAGTGACCACGTAGTCCAACTTCATCAACCGACTCCATCAAAATGACCGAGAAGGAAGAATCTGAATTCTATCCAGAAGCTCTGAATGAAGCCGAGGATGATACTATCAAACCCGAGACTGTCAAAGAGAAAAACTTGAGGGTACTTTCCAAGACAAAAAGTGCAGCGAGCTGGAAAGATCCAGGGCCTCCTCCAGATGGCGGAGTTGTCGCGTGCACGCAAGTCTTGGTGGGACATTTGATTATTATGAATACTTGGTAGGTTTTAGGCTTTTGCTTCCGTCATGTGCTCTTTCGGTGCCCCGAAGAATATGATTGCACTTTGTGTTGGCTGAAATTCTACAGATACACTGACTGTAATCTAGGGGTTTCATCAACTCATTTGGTGTCTCTCAAGAATACTATATCGATTTCTTGACCGTTCTCCATCGGATGTATCGTGGATTGGGAGTATTCAAGTCTTCGTATTCTTGATTGGAACATTCACAGGCCGTCTTACCGATGCTGGGTACTTTTGTCCAGTTTTTTTGTGAGTAGTAGGTTTTTCCTCCTTGCTCTACTTCATCTCTAGCATGTTGTATATTTCTGCTCTTTGTAATAGTTGAACTGCCTTGATGCTTGCTCTAAATGAAAACACTAACTCTATATGGCGGTTGGAACTATACACAGCGTGATAGGCATATTCATGGCCTCCCTGTCAGCACATACTGGCAATTATTCCCTTCTCGGTGAATCTGCTGTGTTCTCGGCAATAGATGGTTATTCTGCCCAACGCTATCAGTAGCACCTACATATTTCTCAAAGAACAAGATGTTAGCCGTCGGTATCTATGCCTGTGGCAGCGCTACAGGAGGCTTAGTCTTCCCCGTCATGTTCCAACAACTCATCACACCACTTATCTACGAATGGACCATGAGAATCTTGGTTGTTTTCACCACAAGTTGTCTGATAATCTGTAACGTATTCGCGAAACCTAGACTGCCCCCTTGTAATACAGGTCCTATGATTGAACTCGCCGCTTTCAAAGAAAATCGTATACCTTGTTTGCCATGGGAATGTCCTTAGTATTTGGGGTATCAATTTCGCGGTCTACTACTTGAGCTCCTTCGGATTACTTGAACTTGTTCAGGGTCGACATCGTCAATATTCCCCTGAAAGAATCATTCAACATATTCTTATCTATAATGGCGCGGGGATTCTAGGTCGCATTGTACCCGCGTATTTGGTAGATCGCTATACAATACCCATGAATATCCTCCTCGTGGTCACCATCGCCTGTATCATATGTGCATATGCAATGATTGGCGTTACATCCCGAGGAGATCTCTGCGCATTGGCAGTGGTATATGGAGTTGTTGGAATTGCGCTCCGAACGATGTTCCAGCCACATTAATAAGTAGTTCAACAACAGATTTAAACAAAGCGGGAGTGAGAATGAGAGTGATTTTCGTGAATACCCCATCCATATTTTTGAGACAACAATGAACATGCAAAATGACTTCACCAGAAAATCGTGAGCTTCGCAGTGTGGACAGGTCCACCCATCGCTGGTCTTTTAATCACAAGAGATAACGGTCGCTATTTATCTGCTCAGCTCTTTGCGACAATGTCTCTGCTCCTAGGATTCTTTTTCCTCTGTGCAGCTAGATTTGTGGTTACGGGAAAGGTCTTGCTTTATAAGATTTAGGCTCAGGGTATTAGGAATGACGCGATCACGCGATATCACACGGGATTATCACGTTCCAGTATGATTAGTCTGGAACAAAGACTGTTTGTTTGTATTAATACAGGCACGTCGACAATATAAATGGCTTTAAATATCGAGCCCAACATGAACCCCTTTGTACCACCTTCAAGAAACTAGTTGCATATAGCAGCACTGCTGCCATTCACAACTCTCTGGATAATCAATAAGGAGCATGCGTTGAACATAACATATTGAAAAGCCGAAAAAGAAATGAGGTATCATGCTTGAAAAATAATTTCGAATAGTTTCCCAAATCAATCTCAATCGGGAAGATTTCGTATATAGTTATTATTAGATATGAGAGAAATAAAATTTATGTGTATCGTACTTTACATCCATCCTATCTACCGTATCTCATATCATCTCTGTGACCGGGGCAAGGCACACCACAAAGCTCATTGAACAAAAAACAATAGAAGGTAAAAATTTGCTCACAATTTCACCAGCCAACATCCAACATCCAATATATCATGGAGCTATTATACAACGCCTTTCCGAATCATCTCCAGTCCGTCATCTTTGGCTTCTCTCAGTTTCCAATTCTCGCCATCGTCCGTTCTTGAGGACTTCACTTATCTTGCGGCCTGCACAACAGCCGCTCCTACCAGACCTCCCAACTCACCAAAAACCACCCCTTTGAAAATCGCCTCTCCCATTTCCTCGGCCCAATGTCCCGCATCCTTTAATTTTCTCTTCCAATTTTCTTTCTGCGGAGCCGTCAACTCATCCCATGATTTCCCCTCGTGTTTTTCTTCGTCGTGAAGAACTGCTTTGATAGATGAAGAAAGTTCTGGCGACGTAATATCGGGGGATATGTCTTGGTTGTCAACGTCTGGGACAGGAGGTCCGTGGTGGAGGTAGAGTTTAGAGGGAGCGGAATTGGGGGTGGGAGAGCGGAGGGACGCGAAGAAGTCCGGGCTTGTGGAGATCAGAGAGGTGGGGATGTGTGTATTGAGTGTGTGATAGTTAGACGGAAATGTGTATGGTTTTCCAATTGCCTCCTGTAAAGGTATTGGTAGATACTTTGCGGCGCCCAAATGAGGTTCCACAACCCCCCTGATCTCCAGCACACTTTGCGTTAGGATTGCTGCTAACAACGCTAGGAGCATAGAGACGATGATTCCAAAGGAGTAAACTGCTTTGCTTGAAGGGAGGGCAACGACGTAGCGCGGTGTGCTTGATTGGCCTCTTTTCACGGATAGAGGAACGGGGAATAGTGGGATGGTGTGGACGATGACCGTGTTGCTGATACCTGTACTAGCGAGTTTAAGGTGCTGAGGAGGTGTGCTTGCAGTAACAGATTGGGTGGGTGGTGTAAAAGTTGAGAATGTAATTCCTGTAATCACCCCAGGGTGAACATTCTTGAATTTTCGGAAAGGTTTGATAGGTGTGACGAGGTAGTTATTTGCTTCGTGTTGGAGATCAACTTTGAAGAGGGAAATGGAAATATCGTGGCCAGCGACCGCAATCACGAATTGAGTGTATCCTTGCTCTCCATCGGGAGTTGGTGGTGGTGTAAGGTTGACGACTGCGAGACCAGTAGCCTTCTTTATACTGGATGGGAGTCTGTGTGATTGCGCGATTCTGCACTGTCCTTTGCCACTGGGTGGTAATCTGAGAATCTGTAGTACTACACCTCCTTGGCTATGGATATTCGTGAGCATGATAATGAAATCCTTCGTTAGCCATCTCATCGATCTGAAAGACGGTATGGTAACTGGCTCCCCGCTTCTTGAAGCAGGTGTAATGTATACACACTCAGGTTCTGCCCCATCATCTATTGAGCCAAGCTTTTTGACATATATATCTTGTTCATCGGCGTATGCGAAAAGATAATCATCTTTTCCCGTTTGTATAAAATCCATGTCAACAACCTCCTTCGCCAACTTTATGGCACTCCTTGAAGTAGGTGGTCCAGTTTGCGCGGGTTGGAAAAGTACTATTTCAGAATCTTTCGCAAATCCAGTTGCAATCGCACCCCATTGTGCTTGTCCTGCATAAGGTCGTGATAATCGAATGACCCTTTGGTATAAATCCCTCTCGACATTGGTAAACAATGGGCATCTCAAAATCTCGGATAGTTTGCTCTTTATCGCAACAGGCTCTGTAGCCTTTCCCTTCCCTTTTGAAACTGGGCTTATTCCAATAACTCGAAAGTGCGCATTCTTCCCTCTAGCTAAGTCCGCCGGACTAGAATTCACTCCTGCAAATACTAAGGTTGTATCTCCTTGAGTTTGGCCGACTGCAAGACTAGCGACATTGTCTTCTTCCTTACTCAGGTCTAGCTCGGCGACTCCAACAAGCTCGTTCGGATTTGAAGTGTCCAAAAGGGTCTAGAAAGCATAGCGATTAGCATATGCACAAAAGACAATCGGCTTCCAACATGAAACGGTCTCTTAAGAAGATATATTCTCGGACTTACAATTTTATTTTCCACACCTGATCTTCCTGCACCTCCGCCCCCACCAACTACTAGTCGTGAGGAATCTATCGGGTCAAAGTCGCAAGCATACAATGGATATGGCAAGGTTAATTTTGCAGACGGTATTAAAGGCGCCATCTTCTAGAATCGATTTTGGAATGTACAAGATAACTTGTATGAGGAAATGCCCAAATTTGTGCAATAGAACTGCCGTTCTTAACTTGAATTGTTGGGCGGCTTCTTGCAAGGCTAGGTATACCAGTAACGAGGCCAGATCTGTCAGGCTGACCGAGGCTAGACTAGATAGAACACTAGTAAGGTTATACGTAGCTAGTAGTTCTAGAAGCTTTTCGGGTGTTTAAGATTCAAGATTTCCTAATTAGGATAACATCCGCTCTTATGCTTTTACATTTTCTCTTTACGGCCCATGTCATACAATTAATTTATATTAAAAACTAACCCATGGATTGGTAAAATCATGCTTTCGCCATACTTTCGCCATACTTTCACATCATCACAACCATTATAGTATTTGTTATATTTTTTTAGCTTTTCTTATTTCTCTTCAAATAATCTACCCGACGCCTATTATTACCCCTTCGGGCTATCTTCTCGTAGAGTATATCCTCATTTTGAGGCCCACTTTCGAAGGATCCCAAAGATACCTAGCTATCCACAAACTGCAAGATCATCGAGAAGCCAAAGTAGGTAAAGCAGAACGTGAAGTTTGTTCCTTTTAGCCCAGCTTTTATCTGCCTCCAGATATGTCATTGACATGCGACCACGATTATTCAGATCTTAGATATGTCGCGCAAAGTAAACAGAATGTGAAACTCCCAGAAACTCCGGGCATTGATGCTGTTGGTATAGTATAGGTACCACACAATATGACCCATGATGTAACCTGCGTTATGTCGCAAAATAAAATTAAATCAGCTTTAACCGCTTCCAAATACGAACTCGAAATGCCACCAATTGCTCGCTTTTCGTAAACGTTGTATCATTAACTCTCGTAAAGTTGTTGGTTGTTTATTTGGCGTTCTTTCGGAAATGTAGGAGGTTAGCTAAGCTAGCAGTATCGCAACCGTGCTTCAAGAAGTCGTGCATCAGCAGTTCGTCTGCGGATGCTCTGCTTCTAATATCGACACAAAGACAGACGGATAAGAAAGCCTTGAGTTCTTTGCTCAGCTTTTCGGGCTTCTTGAGACGAGGGGTACCATTTGTGGCAATCAAGTATAGAGCTTTAAGAGGCTCCTCATTGAGATATGGGGGTTCAGATTCAATCATTTCAATAGCCATGATACCAAGAGACCAAATATCAACCTTTGGTCCATATTCCTTTTGCTTGACGACTTCAGGAGCCATCCAGTAAGGAGTACCGACCATGGTGGCACGCTTGGATTTGGATTCGGTGAGTTTGGCGCAGAATCCGAAATCGGCTACAAGCACATTAGTACGAAGAAACATTAATCATTTTGGTTGAACTTACTGATTTTGACATTACCACGTGCATCGAGCAGAACATTGTCACTCTTGATGTCACGATGGATGATGCTTTGTGCATGAAGATGCTCAAGTCCACGACAAGTCTATCCAAAAGTTAGTATAGATACACAGAATAGGTTATCGAATTTGAAATATACCTCGAGGCAAATGGTGGAGATTTGGTCTTCAGTAATGTTTGAGTTGTTGTCAATGACGTCGGTCAAGGCACCTCCCTCCATATACTCCATGACTACCCAAAGTTCGGTATAGTTGTTTCTCAAGAAAGCATCGAGGAAATTGACAATGTTACGATGCTTGCTGTCCTTCATAACCATGATCTCGTTTACAATTAACTCCTTTCTCGGTTGGTGAGCCAAATCCATTTGTTTAATTGCAACTTGAGCTTTACTGCCTTGTTGACGCAAAACTTCGCGAGCAACAGGAGATGCTGGGTTTTCTTTGACCTTCGCAACATATACAGAGCCTGAAGCACCTTGACCAATTTTCTTCTGCTTGGAGTAAGACAGGTTGGGGTCATCTTTGGAAACAGCTTCCTTCAATTTAGCCATGACCTCATTCTCCGACATGGTTGACATCCTAACATCCTTTGTGCGCTCGGAAGCGGCTGGCTTAGCGGTAAGAGCAGCTTCTGCAGCTTTAACCGCATCATTTTGTTGGGCGCCACTAGCAGCTGGTTTGGGTGCAACATTAAGTGGCTTGACGTTGTTGACTGGGGCAGGCAACCTAGACGCTGGTTGTTGTTGCTGAACTGGTCGCTGCTGCTGGGATGCATTTGCGGCTTGGCCATTTTGATATCGAGGATCTTGTCTCTCGGAACCATTTTGGTCTCTCATAGAAGAAGAGCTCTGCTGAGTGGTAAGTGGTGGTCTGGCTGGGCTATTAGAAGTTGGCGCAGACGGAGCTTGTCTCTGGGCTGGTCTTTGAGCAGCAGTTTGTTGTCCTTGCTGTGGACGAGGGGCAGAAGGTGCCACCCTAGTCGGGTTGTAGCGGTCTTGAGATGGACTGCTCGAATAACCACCGCCACCAATCTCCTGCTTGGCCATTGGCGTGCGAGTTTGAGGAATTGATGCGTTATAGTTTTCCATATCCAGTCGGTTCTGCTCGGCGATCTCAAATTCTCGCTGTCTCTGTGCAGCCAGTTGCATCTGTCTCTGTTCCTCGCGTTGATCAGGAGTGACATAGTTTGATGCCATTTGTTGCATTTGATTGCGCTGCTGACTTTGCTCTGGAGGTGTGGGTCTTCTAGGTTGTTGCTGCGGCTGCGGCTGCTGCTGCTGCTGCTGTTGTTGCGAACCGTAACCATCGTTGCTTGGCTGCTGTTGGGGTTGAAGAGGCCTGGGTGGTGCTATAGAATTACCTGGCATATAACCAAGTTGTTTGTTTTGATTTGGGGCGACAGATGGTGTAGGTGTCAAGCTCGAAAATTGCTGGGGATTTTGTTGACGCTTGGTGATGTCAGAGTAAAATTCCAGAACTTCAAACACAGCCTGGGGATTTCTCTCATAATCTTCCTTGGTAATAGCTGAAGAGTTTAGCAATTTTGACCACTCTGCAGGCAATCCGACAAACTCTCCCGTATTGGGATCGAAACCGACATGGACGGAATGACTGAAATTAGTTGGGTTGCTGACACCGCCCATTCCAGGGCAACGGGCATAGATGAAGTCAATCCATTCGTACAGATCATCGTCACTCTTCACTTTGATCTGGAGAGTCCTTCCAGTACTGTCATCATCTCCTGGGTTGTTTGATGAGCCATTCATGGTTCTTCTGATTTCGAAGATAGTTCCCGCGGCCTCGACTCTTGAAACCCCAAGAACATCCTTGAGTACAATTTGATAGGCAACTTTACCACCTTCAGTCTTGTGAAAATCGAGTGCCTCCTTTCGGAGGATGAGCCACTTATTCTTCCAAGGACTGATGAAGTTCTTGCCTTCCTTGACTGAAGCCCATCCCTCCTTGATCACTGCGACGCCTCCTTGTCCATCCATATTGGTTTGTTGTCGAGCTAAAGGAAGAGAGACGGTCGAGCCAGAGTATGTCGATGTGGCGGTTCTGGCGATTGGAGAATTGATGCTTAATTGGGAAATGTTAGGGGCAGACACATTTCCTGGAATATTCGCGGTAGTAGGAGTGTAATTTAGTCGAGGGCCAGCAGGAGGTCGAGGCGCGGGTCCCGGGTTCATGAATTGACCTGGTGTATAAATGCTGATAAATTATTAATTAGGTTTATTCTTGTATGGATCCACAAAGGAAGTAAGTGAAGAGAATCATGCAACAGCAGCTGCAAAATGCAAGGTCCACGAAAGGGCAAATAAGATTCGTCCAAAGCAGAACTCTGATATATATATGTAGTGTTCAAATTGTTCCAGCCCGCTGCTCTGTGCATATGAACAAGAAATGGGAAATTACATACCTATTTTGTGAAGCCATCTTGATGAGAAGGCAGAATTACAACTTAAGGAACAGTGTATGCAGGATTCTGAAAGGGAACAAGCAGACCGAAAGCCGCGGGGTATCGTTGAAAGAGAAGACAAAAATGACTGTATTCATAAATATTAGCATTTCATTATTACTCTGTGAATGAAGAAAGTATAAAAAAGTGCAGTCACATACAAAGTAATAAAGCCTGGGCTGGAGTGAGTAAGAACTCCACCTGATCTATTTGTTATAGACAGTTGGAGATTTCGAGGTTGTTCGAGGTCGCAAACCAGGGGATCAACAAAGACCGAGAGTTGCCGTCGCACACCAACATCCAGCGTTTTCTTCTTCTTCTTGTAATATTGGGATGTGGTGAATGGAGCTTTCAGTATATTATATGTTTTTGAGTGTTGCAGTATTATGTTGTCAATGTTGACAAGACAACTTTGTTATAAGAGGGGGAAAGATCCTTTTGGATGGAGTTGTTCAATGTATTGAAAGTGATTGAGATCTACTTGGGCGGCAGGTTTTAGGAATCGAGTTTGTAGTAGCGCCTTTTGTTCAAGCGGTAACTATAGGACGCTAAATAGACCCCCATACCCTTACCCGTGCACCCTTCTAAGAGGCCAAATCCTTTCACTAAATTCACCAAAAGGTCCCTTCACATTCACCAAAGAGTAAGAGGAGGAGAGTTCACGGATGAATGCATGCTCGAGAGAATTCAGATGCTGATTTCAAATGAATTGATGCATTTATTAATAATTCACCAAGTGAGCGTGTATCAATAAAGAAAGGTTAGTAGAACAATATAATATATGAAAGAGCAATAAGTAAGCTGTGTTTCTATCCTATCTACCTATATATAGTATGTGTGCTCTGTCTCAAAGATATCTATCCATCTTTCTGTTGTATACGCCTGGGCGAATATCTAGAAGTCTTTTGAAGATTGATTGGAGCTCCAGAGAGAGAAAGAGACGGGTAGATACTTCTTGTATATCTGAGCATGAAAATATCTTACTAAACACAGTATTTATACATATCTAAAACTAATCCGAAGATTTTATTACATCTTACGAGAAGTATTACTGCAAACAAATATACACACACACACACACACACACAAAGTCATGCCCAAGAGATGGTTTTTCCCTATCAAGCCTCTCTCCTGCCTATCTTACTTCTTCCTTAACTTAGCCTATCGGGGATCAATCATTAGAAAGGTCCTAGAGGCTGACTGGGAAGAAAAGAAAGCACTTTGACTCAGGGATGAACTGAACGATCCATCAAAGTTAGGACTACCAGCTACCTGAGATACTCTTTATTAGTCGAGAGCATAGCATCATCATAGGCTATGATTCTGTGAT